ACCAAAACCAATCAGGAAATACTGTTACTGGTTTTTTCCACAACCAGCACCACAGCCACTTCCACAATAGCCAGAAACAGGACACAACAAAAGCCTCTGGCATTTAATACAGGGGGGAAATGGGAGGTCTTCAAAGATAAGGTCTTCAAGGAGAGCCTGCTTCCCATCAAGCAAGGATGTGTCTAGATTTTTTAAACTTTTCTTCACTCAGTATTTTCACCAAAATTACTGAAGAAACAAAGAGATTTGTACACCAGCAAGGGGAACACCTAAACATCAATGTCAGAAAGAAAAAAAAATGCTGAAATATAGAGATGTAACTTTTAAAGAAATTTTAGCTTTTATTGGTGTAGTTATTGATATGGGCATAACTTGTTCACTATCTCTTGCATATTACTGGTCTACCACTCCTTCACTTCATTTACCCTGGTTTACTTCTAAGTACTCAATATTTGTGATAATTAATGCTCCTCTTCTTTATACATACCTTAATTTGTAACTTTTGTACATAAATTTATGTAACTTCATTTTCTCCTTTTATAACATTTCGCAAAATATTAAAATAAATTGTTTTTTATATTACTTAGTCCTGTTTTAATTTATTAAAAAAAAGAAGTGAGGGTATTAGACTACTGAGTAAAGATAGTAAGTATTGTTTATATATTTATGTTAATCGTTAAATTGCAATATTAACTCAAAATAAATATGTTTTTTAGGAAAAATTTGATTCACAAATGTTAGGGTTAAGATTTACTGATGTGTTGAGTACATGTTCTATACAAGTGGATTTAGTCTTAGTGCTTTGTACTGAAAGAGGTTGTGACTTTTATATTCTTTTGTATTTATATTAGCAGGTATAAATAAAATGATTGAGCTGACTTTTATATTTATTTCATAATAAAAATATAATTTACTATTTAGAATAATAAGCTTCTGAGATTTGTACATACTACTAGTATTACTATGATAGTTAGGTTGCTTGTAATAATTATTTTTTCTTTCTCCTTTGTATGATTTTCGATACTATAGATAAATAATTAAGGTCATGTATATGCCATGAAGTTCTTTCCAAAGGTAAGATACCTAAGACATATAACAAAGGTTTATGACCCTACACTAAGTGTAATCTCAAAATAAAATGTCAATTTCCATATTAAATCGTCCACTTTCCTATTTTAAAATACAGCACACAACATTTCTTCCCCATCCTATGAATTCAAGAATGTGAAATACAATGTATGGAATGAAGTGATACCAAAATTGACATCTTACAACAAGGATTGGTTGAAAATTTTACAACTGTTGTTGAACATGCCAGACACTGTTTGGTAAAGAAAAAAAAAGACTAG